GGGTGAACCTGGACCTCATGTGCCTGCATTGCTTGTGCCTGTGCATTTGCTGAAAAGTGTATGTTGTTAGAAATACACTAGTGTGATTTCAGCTGTAACAGAATTTTTAATAACTATTTGTAACTGAAGTAACATTTACTTGTATTTGTATATTTTGTCTCTGTATATGTTTACATACAGACAGCCACGTCAGGTCTAGAGTAGCCCACTGGCAGTGAAGGCCAATCCTTTGTTGTTATTACACTTGTGATGTAAAATCTAATACCACAGTATTTTTTTAATAAGTGCATACTACACTGTAACATGTCTCTGTAGAATTAGACTAAAGTGGGATCATGAAATTGCGTTTTTGTTGTTTTTGTTTACTCTGAGTGCTTTATATTAATGTACCTTTGCTCAGTAGCACTTTAATGTTTACTATCTGAACTTTTGTAAACAAATGTAGGTTGAATTTACTCTTATTAAAAATGTTTTTAATGATGTAATTTGTTTAAAGGGTGTGTGCATGCACTACTTCTTCTTGCTATATAACATTTCATCTGAACTCAGAGTGACACTGATTGCAGAAAAAACCTCAGTTACATAATGCAGAGCATTAGTTCTAATGAGTGAGATTGAGTTCATGTGTGATATCATTTTTCTGGGAATGCCCATTCATTAGTGAGATAGCTTTGACTGATCACTAAACATCCTGCTTTAGTCATCTCCTGTTTACAGTTTGCATTTGAAGCTTCTTCTAAGATAATTGTGTGTGTCTGTATTTGAAAGACACACATAAGGTGTTTTCACAGCGGCAGTGCTTAATCCATGTAAATTGAATTCTGGTTCATTTTTCCATTTGGTGCTGTTCATATGTGCAGGTGTGAACACAGTAATCACACTCATTTGCAGACCAAAACAGAGACTGACACTGACCGCATCAAGGCCGCTTTGAAGAAGGTGGTTTCTGTATCGTTCCAAACAGACTCCAGAGCGGTTCATTTATGGTATGAATGTTATTCGACCTCAATATGAACCAGTTACCCAGTGTACATTACAAATTTGAGCTAAAAATCATCCAATAGCCACATATACTTTGTATTGTCAGTGCGGCAAAGTACTATAGAAGTGCTAAGATCTGTATGGGCTAGCAACTAGCCATGAGAAGAACATAAATTCTCCATGTTCTCCATTAGTCCAGAACATAGCAAATTGTTCTTGTATCTACTTTTGTTGCATCTGGACAATGGGTAAACTGAACAAACTGACACAATTTGATTTGCTTGGAGTTCACTTAGATTTTTCTCTGTGTGAAAAAATAAACCAAACAACAGGAAAAAGCTACAAGTTTACAAACACATCAACTGATTCTGACCAGAGTTAACGAAGTATAGGTGTGAAAACGCCATTGTTGTATCACCATAGTGATAGTACACGATTGCTGATCCCGAATATCATTGTTCCGTCTGTGCTACATGACAGGAAATGAGGAAGTTGTCTCAGTGGATAAAACTAATTTTAAAAATGGCTCAAATGTCATCTGTAAATGATATTGCTGTATGATAATATTAGTTTTACTGAAATTTAATTAAATTGTCAGTTTTGGAGTCTGTAATTGAGAACTAGGGAGGATGTTAAGTCCCTAGGCTCAAAAGCAGTCTCAAAGATCAGATGGGTCAAGTTTCGAAGAACAACACATGGCAACTCTTAGCGGTAATACAGTGGAGAGTTTGAAGGGCAATAAACACAATGTTAACATCAAAAACAAACTGGAAGATTGCACAGTTGAGATGTCCAACATGCTTCTGCTACAAGACATGGTATGTGATTCCTGCATTGACAGCCCGAGTAAAGCCCTAAAATTCTGCCTGACTTGCCCTATTCCCTACTGTGAGAGCCATCTCAGAGCAGGAAAAAGCCAAATTTCAAAACCATCACTTAGTGGATCCACTCCATGACATCTCATTTTGAGGTTCATAAGCTTCCTCTCAACTATTTCTTCCTGATGGAGGACTGATTCAATTGTCTGGACTGCGAGAGAGAGAAGCACAAATTGAGGTCTCAAAGATACAACACAATATAATTTATTTACAGGGTAAAATGTTCCTAAAATTTTCTAAAAAAGGAGTAAAAATCATTTGGAATACAATGGTTTTGCAATCTTTTACTTACAATCTGGGGCTCACTTAGTCAGTAGATGTAGCATGTGTTATTTTTTGTGCTTTTTGTTTGTAGACTGAGCACCAAAGGAACTGAGGGAGATTAGTGAGAGTGCCTCAGGAGTTGATAAGGCAGTTGAAACACCGCAGAGCATTGACTGCATGATTTATTCATTCATCTAGTTGCATTATGATTTTGTCCAGTTTCCTTCAGGTTTGTGTTATCATTGAACAGTAGTTTCCTAGGCTGCAGAGAGCTGTGGAGAAGGCCAGAAAAGGGACAGTGGAAGTGCCTTAAGGAGAACAAAAAACAGGCCCATATACAGACTGAAGGCATTCAAGCACACCTGGGGCAAAAGAGAGCATAGGTGATGAGAACATTGACTGAAATAAACAAAGTGTCCAGGAGAAAGTCTGATATTGACTTCCTACAGGTAGAAAACATATGAAACATTCAGGTTATTGTATTATAAGTAGAGGAATTACATATAGTCAAGTGGGTGTGAAACCTTTTTGGCATCACAGCCTATTGTAATAGTGTGGCATTTTAAGACAAAGACTTTATTTTGGAAACGAATGTGTTGACAGTATACAAAGAACAGGAATTTCAACTTTTGGGATATTTATACAGAAGAAGTACAATGTTTCTTTTGATGTTGGTTTTTTTGATAAACCAAAGAAATTTCACATCATGGCATTTTTCAACAATGACAGAAGTGTGGAGGGAAAAACCTGCAGAACCGCACATAGGTCAGCAATCTACCTTAACTAACTATGGTGAGGCAAAAGCAAAGAGAGAAAAAAAGCAATGACAATAAACAATGCATCGGTTACCTGATATATGTTTCTTTTGTTTGTGTACACGTGTCTTCTGCTTGCCCTCTTCTCTCTATGTAAGCTGCGGGTTTCTCTGATTCCAGACCTGCATGCAAGTCATAATTCTTACATGGTTTGTTGCCTCTCTTTGATCTTTTCTCTTTACTAGCCCATCACCTAAAGCAGTCAAAGCAGAAGGTGACCCTCCTGACCCTGGTTTGTACAGAGGATTCTTCTGTATAAGGGTTTTTGGTTTGTTTTTTGTTCCCACTGCCACTCACAATCAAATTGCTATTTTCTTTTTATGAAAATAACAATTTCCATAAAGGTCTTACCTTGCAATATAAAGTCCTTTCATATTCAAATATAATTAAATTAAATTAAATTGGCTTGTTTACAAGGGTACTCAGAGTGGAAAAAAGGAATGACCGCTGTATGTCTACCTAATGTGAACATGAACTGCATGGATCATCGAATCTTTTTACACCCAAATAGTAACAGATATTACACAGGAACTGTACAACCTGATTTTTTTTCCCTATTTTTTTCCTCCTGCAGTGGAAAGCTGAGCATGACTTGCAAAAGTGGTGAGTTTCACTCACAACATGGGTTTTGTTCCACACGTCATATTTGGTTATTTGAGCCTCGGTGAAAGTCAAGATATAAACCAATCCTGGTAATAACAGTCGTTTTCAAGGTGGTTCCACGCCTAATACTGGAAAAGGCCTCATACGAATTGTTACAGCGTGTTTTTTGTTTTGTTTTTGTATTTTTTTTGGGGGGGGGTTACATTCATGACACTAGGGATGACACTTGGTGTGTATCAGTGTCTTCTGTGTCTACAGTATCTGATCCAGACTATGATGACTACTTTGATAATGAATTTATTCAGCAACACTGCAAGTTTCATATTTTTTCCTTTGAATGAAAAGTCTTACATCGCAGGCGTTCGTGTTTTTCTTAGGGTGACGTTAATGACCCTTTTTTTTTTCTTTAGTTTACATTTTCCAAGCACGATGTCGAAAAATAAAGTGGTTTATTGTTTCTGGATTAAGCATAAAACAAACACAGTTTACTTTGTGTTGTGTGCAAATTTTGCATGCTAACATTAGCATTTAGCTCAGAGCACTGCTGTAGTACTGCCACACAGAGCTGAAATTCAATATAGTGTAAACAATCATGAGAAAAACCTCTATATCAAATTAATGGTACTAAATCATCCGTGCCAGTCCCTCATCTTTCTACCCTGCCTAACCCTGACACCGGAGAGGACTTTTTAAAATGCAAATAACCCTTCAATACATCACCCACCCACCGCTTGTCATATCTTATTTTTATTTCCACATTGTCTATTTCCCCCTTTTTTTTAAGACTCCAGAAGTTTGACCTTTGACCGAGACACCTGACCAACATCAGCCCATGGCAGCACAGATACCCGGAACATCCCGACTTTGAATACTCATGCCAAGCCATGAATTTACAGAGCCTTTACTTGGGAAAACACTATATTGAAGCAGAGCTGAGTGAGAAGAGTATCGATCAAAAGGGAGAGTAAAGTAGCAGCTGCATCACCGGGAACAATTTTTCCTGGTGCGTGGGAAAGAACAGCGGATGTTTTTCTGCCTGGCATACTGGTGTGGTTAATATGTTGCCTATCACCAAGGCTCAGTTTCATTTCATAATGTTACTGGTCCTGTCAAGCTGCTCCATAAATTCATGGCCGACTTCACTGAACCTTTGCTCTGGTCAATGCAGAATGATGTATATGCTAACAGATTATGAGCTGCCTCCACTGTGAGCTTGTAAAAGAAAAGAAATGGTCTATTATGACTATTTATTGATGTTACATAACAAGCTTTGTAAAGATATTGTATAAAGAGCTTTTTAACCCCCACAATAGATAACATAGAAGCTTAAATTGAATAGTGGTAGTAAATGCGCACCATGGAGAAAACTATGCAGCACATGAAGTGTTAAGGATTTACTGCAGCTTTTTGAAACTTTATTGCTCTTAAATGTGATGCGAATGAAGAGGAAAACACACAATTGTCTGCCAGCAATTCTTTTATTTGCGTTACAGATTTATTTGGTTATTCGAAGATTTAGTGCCTGTCGCCTAGGTTATTTACATTGTTCAGTGGTAATAAAACTGTATACAACTATATACTTTAATTTGTGGGATTTAAAATCATTCAATTTGAAACAAAAGTACTGTCATTAAATGCTAACATATGTTCATCTTTAGGCAGTAAAATCTGTTTCACTCTCATCATAAACTGGGTTTACAAAGTGTACAGCTGTCTGAGTCATCGAGATTGAATTACTAACTCCAGTCCCATATAGACTAGGAATGTCAGGCATCATAGTGGGCTGGTCAAACATAGGATTATCAAACCCATGGTCGAGAGGTCCACCGAGATCTGGTATGTTGTTTCTATTTTTGAATCTGTTCAGTGTTGGCATTTGAACAACCCCTTTATGAATCAAGACACCCAAGATAATGAGTGTAATCAGCAGTAAAACTCCAAAAACAACTCCAACTGCCAACCCTGCACTATCTCCAGTTTCCTCAGAAGAGGTCTGAACTTCAACTCCGGAGATTCCCAAATTAGAGCCATGAGAACGAGCATCCTTCATTATGTCCTGGGCCAAAGCTGCTGACTGTATTCCCTGCTCTCCATCCAGTATTACTATCTGGATTTCAGATAACGTACCAAGACTGATTATCCCCATCAGCCGCTGTGGCTTTAAGACTTTGGACATCCCCAGCTGAATGGACTGGTATTGTGGCACGGCAAGAAAAAGGTGACGGATTCGTTCCCTGTAAGTCTGAAGGTTAAAACCGTCATCAAAAAGGAGGGTAACAATGGCACCACACACATCACAACAGTGTCCTGTTGGGCGAAGAGGGTTCTTACAGTTTGGAGAGTCACACGTTACTGTGCTACAGATCTGCTGATGGTGTACAGAATTCCCACAGTCACAACCAGAGGGATCCTCACAGGCTGGGTTTCCGACAGCAACAGCAGAGGATCCATGAAACTGCAGTTTGCCCAAACTTGAGCTGAGATACTGGGAGAACTCAGACTGGGTAGTAAATGTATCCCCCAGCACAGACACAGATTTGACAGTGATGCTAGAATGACTAGAGCTGGTGTCCACTCTGAAGGAGGAGAGGGCTTTAAAAACAACATCATCGTAATGGCAGGGGACGCTCTCCTCGTGGACAGAGAATAGGAAGTTTCCTTGCTCTAGGTCATTCAGAGTTGCAGCTGCCTGCCATAGAGTTGGATCGTACCACTGAAATGACTCTGAATCTTTAAACTCGGTCGTGACACCCGTTCCACAGCCTGGGTCCTGCCCGGTGACAGCATAAAATCCAGCTCCTGAATTCAGGATGAACTCCCCATCAACTGGCAACCTCATCTCCAGCACAGCATGAGTGGTCTCCACAAACACAGACACTTTTCTTTGAGCCGAAAACTGAACTATGTCATTGCCACAAGGAATATCGCCTTTGTCCCAGTTGGTCTTATTCTCATAGTTTGTATCAGGAATCCACTGTTTATATAGGGCATTTGCTACCCCAACGAGACAGAAGAGCAAGAGCATGTCTGGTATTTTCAGCATCCTGGGTAATTGTGACAGCCTAAAAGAATATTGCGTGACCTTTGTTTCAAATCTTGTGACTAACACGAGTGCACACAGCTTACTAAGGGTACTAAACCAAATCAGCCTGCTCAAGCAGGTAAAACATTTACATTTTCTGCTACAACAGACCGGTTTTATTGGTAATACCAAAACATCCTTACCACTGCATTTTCCCTTCAATGCATTTCTGCTTAGAACTAAAGTAGAAATGAATTATTTAGGTTTATATTGCTGCTATTGCCACTGACACTGCTATTTGTATACTCACTGAATTACATTAAGTCCAATGCAATCAAATGTGGTGATAATTCTGCTTCGTCAGTAATGCTAATTCTCTGATCGATGCAATAATTTAGCTTCTGGTCTAAATTATATATATATATATATATATATATATATATATATATATATATATTGTGGAGCAGGGAAATTATTTTACTGCTATTGTTAAATAATCATCATTATTACCATTGCATTAATAATATAATCTGCAGTATGATCATTGCTTTAACAATGTAACAGATAGCTTTAAGATGGCCTTAAGATGTTTATAATGATGTTAATTTTGTATTTCAGATGCAGTTATAACTATTGTGTACACAATGCATATCTGTGCTTATTTGAGTTGATGTTCAGGTTCTTTAAAGGTCTTAAGCTTCACTGACGTGACTGTTCAGGTGATACATGCTGAGGGAAAACTAGAACATAGAAGGAATTGCAATACATGCTTACAAAACACTTATATATCAGGTCATTTCATATTAAGGTTTTAGTAGAGGTTCTTGGTTAAAACATTTATTTAGTAGAAGACATACACATAGTCTCAGTGAGCCTCTGGTCTAGTGAAAGGTCAGAAGTGCAACAGGTGAAGAGGTGACACAGAGAGCATGTGAGGTCGTGACACACACACATGAGTTAGATTTATTTAGAGGAGAGAGAGATTAGTCATGTCTCGGTAAAAGAGGAACCGTCCTTGTCGTCTCGGCAAGAAAGAGGAACTGAAAGGTAGAAAGGAAGTGCCGGCCATGAAAATAGAAGATGATCTTCTGGGTTAAAAGTCATTGTGGTGTTGATCTGATCTATGTATAAAATGTATCTGTGACGCATGAAGGGGCGTCAGTAAATCAAACCCTGATGCTATAAAATATCTGTTTATGCTTTGATTAAGTCGAAGATCACTTGCTGTCTGTGCACAGAGTGTTCTTCCCACACGTGTGTAGTCATTAAAATCATTGTTTGACCAAGAGCTTCTGGACCAAGGGTGGTTTGTACTCTCCCTCCTCAATTTTGAACCTTAACAATATATATATATATATATATATATATATATATATATATATATATATATATATATATATATATAATGTGTGTGTGTGTGTCAAACATAATTAATTTGACTGCTACCAGCATCAGATACGCACCTTAATGATCAACCATCATCTAATTCATTTTCAGTGAGTAATGAGCATTTATATGCACATAAATCCATTCAGATGCTTAATATGAATGCATCAAAGTCCATATCATTTACATTGTTTATTTTGCATTCGAAGGAAAGCCATCAAGTTTACTTCTTGAATTTTCAAATGTCTAAGGTCAACAGGACTACACTTACAGTCGCACGACCAAAATAGCTCCTTCTTGGAAGCTGCAAGAATCTGCACAGTAAACAGACTCAAGTACCCGTCGCACTTGGATTTCCCTTCAGGCAGTTCCTGACGTGCGCCAGTGTCACGAGCTAGTAGAGTTCGTTGTTTATGGAATAACGACCAAATACGAAACCGGACCTGACCAGCACAAGTGACGATTGGGGAAAAACACCAAAATATGTGGTGTAAGTCTCCTTTGGGTGCGGTGAGAGATTAAACAATCAGCCAAAACTAATTGCACCTGTTTTTAGTCGTTTACGTGAGCACTGCGGAGGCTTTCTGTGCAATCTGACCTGCGCAGACTAGAGCGCTGATCCACTTAGGCTATGCCTTGTTTTCCAACTCAGTGTTCAGTTTAGATAAACTTTAACCCGAAAGCAACATGCACCCTCTGGCATCTTGACACTAGTTTGAAAGTCCAACACGAACGCTGTAGATCAGTTTTCAAAGATTCACTTTTCTTTCTGTCTTTCTTTTCTCTCGCTTTCTCTCTCTCTTTTTTGGACAATCACATTTAAAATAGTGGTGGATGTAAATAATATTAATCCTGTAGCTAAAGCTGAAATATCGTTGTTTTCCATAATAAAAGACTCATGTGGTGTTTTAGTACTCTTGAGTGCGCTTTTATAGTCCTTCCCCGCTTATTTTCTTTAGTAGGCTCATAATAAAATCTTGTATTTCTCAGCGGTTAACCTGTAAAGATATGGGATCATTACAGCTTCACTTAAGCTAAAGCACATGATCTTTTGTAGGAAAATGCCAAACGTTGTTATGACGGCTCATCCATCAAATGGTGGAACTGTGACACAAGTGGACAGCATCCAGCATTTGCCCAGTCCTCCCCATCCTCCCACTGTGGATGGTGCTAGTGAAAGTGGACACGATGTGGAAGTAGTTAAAGAAAGGACCCCCCAAGGTGGTGAATGGCTCCTGTCTGGGATAATTTGCATCAACATCCTGATGCTTGGCTGTGCTCTGGTCAGCAGCAGCGCCTTCAATGTTGTGGCCATAACACCAGTGCACCGGCAAATCTTCCTCATCACCCTCCTCGTCCTTACTATGTTGTGGATGCTGTTTTACATGGTCGTCACCTCCCGAAAGGATCGTGCAGTCTTATTTAAAGATCGCCATGCTGGGCCTGTGTGGCTCAAGGGTGAGAAGTCCGAGCAGTGCTTTCTGGCTCTGTTTCTGATTGCTCGTTTCAGCTTAAACCCCTAATTTTTTATTTTTTTATATGTTGCAGCTGGGCTTGTGCTGTTTGGCCTCCTTAGTTTCCTCATGGACATCTTCAAGATCGCCACTTATGTGGGCTACCTTCACTGTGATTCTCCTGTTAAAGTAGCCTACCCCATTGTGCAAGCTGTGTTTTTATTTTTCCAGGTTGTTGCATGTTATGAAAATTGTAAGAATATACGCGCTCTTGCATGCTGCACTGGCAAAACTTTTAAAAGTTGTCTCTTTTAGACCTACTTCCTGTGGTTTCATTCAAGGGACTGCGTGCAGCTACACACCAGCTTAACACGGTAGATTCTTTTAAACATTTCATCACCTCCATTCACTCATTTCAGAGTATATAACATTCCTTATCTTTTTTCCCTTTCAGATGTGGGCTTACTCTTACACTTTCAACTAACCTGGTGGTGTGGATGGCAGCAGTGACTGAGGAGTCAATTCACCAAACTGAGATAACTCATCTGAATATAAGTGTCTCGCACAAGTTGTACAGAGGTATTGAGCCGTAGCTTCCTGTTTTTAGATGAAGGTCAGTGTTTACAAGGAAAATAACTGATGGTTGCTCTTTCTGTTCCAGCCAACTACGGTGCCAAGAAGTGCACATGCAGTCATATGGCATGTGAGACCTTCAAAGAGGCCTTCTACTACCTGTACCCCTTCAACATAGAATACAGCCTCTTTGCTTCTGCCATGACCTACATAATGTGGAAAAACGTGGGCAGAATTGTTGAACATCACAAGCACTACAAATTTAACTTCTATGTGAAAGATGTTTTCGTAGGGCCTGTAGCAGGACTGCTCCTGGTGGTGGCAGGACTTGTTACATTTGTACTGTACAAGATTAACATACTCAAAGAAGACAAGGATAAACGAAATAAGGCCCTGCTGATTCATTTCATTATGAACATAGTGATTGTTAGCTTGATGTCCCTCTCCACTATGATTGGCTGCATTATTTACAGACTGGACCGCAGGGAATATGTATCAGACAAAAACCCCACTCGCAGCCTGGACGTGGGGCTACTGGTGGCATCCTCTTTGGGGCAATTCATCATTAGCTATTTCAGCCTTGTGGCTACAGTGGCGACTGGAGCCCAGGGTTACCTAAATGTGCTCAACCTGGCCTGGGCTGTGGTATTGGTGGTTGAGATTGGCCTGCAGAACTATTTCATCATTGAAGGCCTCCATCGGGAGCCCATCAATGTAATGCCGGCAAATGCCCGTGCTTTTCAAGATCATGCTGAAATGGCCAATGACGTGGAGGGTCAAATATCAAGATACTCAATTTCTAAAAAGCCAAGTTGGAAAAGGAGAGTTCTGAGGGAAGTGTGTGCCTTTTTGCTCCTGGCAAACATAATTGTAAGTTGTATTTGTGCTTATTGGACTATCTACAGTTGTAACAACCAGTGTTTCCTGTCAAAATGTGTCTAATTCCCTTTTTCTATATTGACAGCTATGGATCATGCCTGCATTTGGGGCTCGTCCCCAGTTCGACCACTCCGCTGAGATATACTTTTACAATTACACAATGTGGAACGCAATTGTGAATATTGGACTTCCTTTTGGAATCTTCTATCGCATGCACGCTGTGGCCAGTCTCTTTGAAGTTTATCTAAGAGATTGACTAATCTCGTAATCATTATTTTGATTTAGGTGTACAATTTTATGTATCAAAACATTTAACATGTTATTTAACTACCTTTAATAAATAAATTTAAAAAATGTCTTCGTGTTTTCAGTTTTCCCTGTAGAAGGATTCAGTGCAGGGATTTGATATGTGGCGATGCAAATGTGTTCATATAATAAACCTTTTGCAGATTAAGTGACGAACAGGAGCATGATGCCACCTAGTGGTTAACATGTGAAGGTGGCGCTTTTACAGATGGCAGAATTGGACTTTGTGCAGAACTGCTGCTACTTTATGAACTGTTTACACACCTGAAATTTCAGATTTGCTTTACAGCACTGTCATACATAATGTGACCAATGCAGAATTTGCAGATACATATTATATATTAGATATATTTTTTTTCAGGACACTTTAAGGAAAATACAATTTCAGCATAGAACATTATAAGCATTTCTCAAAAATGAAACCTTGTCATATACATAAAAACATACAATCTGTCTCAAAATATAATCACATAAACTTCAACCACAAACGACAACTCAAAAAGGTGCAAGTTCACTTTAAAGCATTTCAAGTACAACAAATAATATTGGAATGATAACTTTGAGCTATACAGGATATGTTACACGTCTTTGAAAGTTAAACAATGTTCCCTCT